ATATATATTTGTAAATTGTTTCCTAAGTTTGATTTATATTCTTTCTTTTTTATTTTTTCCATAATATGATTTTAAATATAAACATACAGGGTGCAAATTTACGGTGCAGCGTAAATCAGCATACCTGTAAGGTATCGACCATAAACTAACTTAATCTTCATAGCTACATTATAAGCAGTATTCCAAAATTGACTGCAATGACTGAAAATCTATAGTGCGTGTAATGTAAACTATGTGTAGATTTTTATCGTTGGCAGTATAAATTTGCAATACAGCCATAGTGCCAGATAGTTCTATTGAAGCTGAAGACACAACCGTTTATGGGAAAACATCATTTCAAAAAAAGAAATTGTGCATTACATATTTTGCAGAGCAACATAAAGTATGTATGTAAATTAACAAAAAATATTTTATATCGAAATGAAAAGATTCTAAAAAATCTTACATACATTCATTTGTAAGTGCTTTGTACAGATAACTCCTGTGAAAGAAAAAAAATAAAAATATGTAGCCTATTTATTACTATATGATTGCCTTTTGTATCACTTTTGGGGTATCTTATTTTGTCAGACGCTCATTTTTGCTTATCTTACCAAAAAAATTAATTTTTGCAAAATTGCAAACAATATTGTAAAAACTGCTATAGGTATTATTTAATAGAAGATATTCTTTAGTTCGTATTTATGTTTCTAAAGCTTTTTTTTTTAATATTTGTTTAAGATATATTATCCAAAAACAAAGTTAATATCAGCGGTGACCTTTCTTTATTAAAATGTACATAACTAATATTCAATTACAATATATACTAAAAAAATAATCAATGATTTTGATCAAAGTAATTTATCCGAGAGAATAAGAAATACGTACCTCGAAAGACTTTTTCTCGAGAAACCAGTAACATCTGATCCGTGATCTGACAAAGGAGCTTCGACAATAAGCTCAGTAGTACTGGACGCAAATCCTGCAGCATTTTTCGCAACGCAGGTAAAAGTACCGGCATCTTCGGGAAAGACTTCCCTGATTATCAAGGTAGCAACGTTATCTTCGTCATAATATATTTGAAAATCAGTAGATGGTTTGATAATAGCAGTTTGACGGAACCAAGTTATTTGTGGTCTTGGTATACCTTCTACTTGACATTCGAATTGCACGGTGTAACCATCTAATGTATGAATTGGTTGTAATTTTTCAATAAATCTTGGGGCTGAGGCTTTTTCTCCGGGGGCAGGCTCTAAAAAGGTTAAATATATGATATATGATATGAATATTTTAAAAGTTTATAAATAAATATATGATATGAACATTTTAAAAGTTTATGTCAAATTTCAAGTCGCAAATACATATTATGAATGTAGTGCGATATGATTAATAAACTTTATCGCATTGTTTTATTAATTTATCAATTTCGTAAATAAATTACTTACTCTCAAAGATTGGCAATTTGTCAATTTTTTCATGCAATTTTCGTTGCAAGTAAATAGTATAACGTGCTTCATCCAATAAATATTGCGCCGGTACCCAACCTTTTTCTTCGGTCAAGTGTTTCTTTACAAACCACCAATCCTGATTAGTATGATCTGTAGAAAGTAAATATTAATTAGAGATGTTCTATTAATTGTGTACATGTATATGTATATATAATATGTTAATATAGGGTGTTTCATTTTAATTGATACACTAATATATCTCGAGAATGAGATATGAGATTGAGAAAAGTTTCAGATAAAAATTATGCGACATGAGATGATACCATTGATTTGACCTTGAGTAGTATTGCCAAGGTCAAGGCAAGATCACTTTGAATTTTTTAAGTGGAACTTCCCATTTTTTATTATATATTCTTGTGGCTTACCTCGAGAGCTTTTCAAAAAGTTATAATAAAATATGTTTTGTAAAACATTTTTCGAGTTATAAAGCTTGATAGTTACAATATTGTTGACATTAGCATTACTCAAGATTATATTTAACCGACAGCTAAAATCTTTCAACAGACACGCATTGAATAATGCTAATGTCGGCGGTATTGTAACTTTCTTTATAACCTTAATCTTATAACGTCGTAAAGTACTTTACGAATAAATATTTTATTAGAATGTTTTAAAAATCTCTCGAGGTAAGATATAAAATATGTAATGAAAAATGGGGGTTTTATTTAAAAAATTTAAAGTGACATTGCCTTGTGTTGCAGAATTCTCTAAACATTTTATCAACAATTGTTGCTATCATTAATTAACGATAGCCAATGAGAGCGCTTTCTTCCAGAATTTTCTTGCTATTGGCTATCGCTAGTTAACGATAGCGACAATTGTCGATAAGACGTTTGACTATGAGCGGCGTTGTCAAGATCAGTGGGATTCTCTAATGCTCATTTCCACCAATGTAGATTAACTTTAATCTCGACTCAATTTACTCTTCGTCTTTTTCTAGTTCTAAAGACTAGAAAAAGATGAAGAGTAAATTTAACCGAGATTGAAATTACTCTACGTTGGTGGAAATGAGCATTAGAGAATCCCGTTGATCTTGACAACGTTACCCATGATCAAACTAATGGTACTATCTTATGTTCCTTTCGATGTTTTTGGTGAAAAAATTTTGCTAAAATTATTCTACGTTTTGAAACATTTCAGCGAATTTGCCGAAAATTTACTAAAATTTCACTGAAAGTGAATTTTTCAGCTAATATGAAAAGTCACTGAAATTGAATTAAAATTTCTCTGAAATTTTTCTGAAATTTTGTTGAAATTTTGTTGAAATTTTACTGAAATTTTGCTAAAAATGAATTTTTCAGCTAAAAATCATGGAAATTAAACTAATTAAACTAATTTTTCTGAAATGCTGACATTTTGCCGAAGTGCTCCAAAACGTGGAATAATTTCAGAGAAATTTTTTCACCAGAAGTCACATAACTTAAGTCAGAAATACTTTTCAATCCCGCGCGTGTGTGTTAGTGGTAACATTTTATGAAGAATAGAGATCTTACCGATAATATAAATTTTTTCCCCTTCTACTAAATTAATAGCTTCTTCTGTTTCAGCAATATAAGAACAAATTGAAAACATTGTATCACCTTCCCGAACAATATATTCCTCCACTGAAAGGCACATTAATAGGTTATTTAAAATAGAATATAACAAAAAATATTATATTTTATATTAACGTAAAAATATATCGTTAAAGTGAACCTTCTTCGGATATTTCCTCTTCTTTAGTAATACTGAGAGAAGCTTCTTCTGCAATATATATATATATATCAAATATCAAAATAAAATGAACGAAACTTATAATTATAATACAATACAATCATAATATAGCGAAGGGTTTTTTAGGCGGATACAGCTTTTATATAAGCAGAGAATTCTGTTTGCTCATGAATCTGTATTATTGTGATCTGAACATGGGATCTTTTTATATTAATTATGTAAATAAATTTTTAGTTATTGTATTAAAAGATATAATTATAATATGTAAATACCGATATGCTTTTCATACGCAGCTTTTTATACAGTAGCAAAAAACTTGAGGATAATAGGCAAAAAAAACTTTTTTAATAAAATATACAGCAATTAGGCGAAGGAAAGGAAAAGCAAAGCACGAGAATAAAGCATATATACTCATTCTCACAAGGGCCAAAATAATTATTAAAGTACATTAATTACTATTATAAGTAAAAGCATATTTTATTAATTTAATTGTAGATGCTAATAAAGCATGAATGTGTGCCATCTGCAAACCTTCTTCGAATGTGGAAATACGTCTCCTGCTTTTCAACTTCAGCGCCAAAGATTCGGTATCAGCTTCCTCGTATGAGTATTTTCTATCACGATTTAATTGCAATTTAACAGCATCTTCAATTTCTTCTACAGTATATGGAACTTTTTGTTTCTTTTTCTTTCGTCTTAGCGGTATATTCATTTCGTCGATATCAAGCTCTTCAATGCTATATTCTTCTTTCCCTTCTTCTTCCGATTCATTGATGACCTCTTCGATAATCGGACCAGAATCTTCGATTTCTTGAATGATTTTAATTGTTTCCTCTCCAGTCTCTTCAGAATATGTAAGCGGCCGTCTTTTTGGTTTTAGACGCACTTTACCGGACATAGAAATATCTTCTTCTTCATATGTATTTAACGAGATTTTAAATTCTTGTTCTACATCCTCTTTTCTTTTTGTAGAACGTGGTCTAAATGTTACATTCTCCACTTCAGTAACTTCTTTGATGTCCGGTCTAGACTTTTTCTTTGGTCGTAATTTACGTAATGTAACATCTTCATAAATTTCTTCAATTGGTTTCGGAGCTTTTTTCGGTGGTTTGCGTTTCAAAGTAAATTCTTCAATTACTTCTTCAGGTTGTTCTATAATCTCGATTTTTCGAATAGTTAATTCCTCTGTAATTACATCTTTAATTTCTGGTTCTTTTTCCCTTAATAATATATCTGCAGATGTTTCTGCAATTTCTTCTTCTACTTTCTTATCTTTTACAGGTTTCACAATAATTACTTCCGACATTTCTTCCGTTTCGAACATCTTTTTTCTTGGCTTAGGTTTTAAAGTAATTTCTTCAACTACATCATCTTTCCTTTCTTCGACAATTAGTTTTTTAATTGTCATTTCATCAGCGACTTCTTCTTTGACAGATTTTTCTTTTGGTTTTCTTAATATTACTTTTTCAGAGATTTCTTCCGGCACTTGCTCTTCCTCCTTTGAAACGGGTTTCTTTACAGTTATTTCAGCAGTAGGTTCCTCTGTAACGAGCTTTTTCTTTGGTTTCTTTTTCAACGTAACTTCTTCGGTGACTTCTTCCACATCTTCTTTTCTTTCTTCGACAACCGATTTCTTAATTGTCACTTCATCTGCGATCTCTTCCTTGAGAATTTCTTGTTTTGGTTTCTTTAGTACTAATTTTTCAGAGATTTCTTCCGGCTTTTGTTCTTCCTCTTTTGGAACGGGTTTCTTTACAGTTATTTCTGCAGCAGGTTCCTCTGTAACGGGCTTCTTTTTTGGTTTCTTCTTCAACGTAACTTCTTCGGTGACTTCTTCCACATCTTCTTTTCTTTCTTCGACAACCGATTTCTTAATTGTCACTTCATCTGCGATCTCTTCCTTGAGAATTTCTTGTTTTGGTTTCTTTAGTACTAATTTTTCAGAGATTTCTTCCGGCTTTTGTTCTTCCTCTTTTGGAACGGGTTTCTTTACAGTTATTTCTGCAGCAGGTTCCTCTGTAACGGGCTTCTTTTTTGGTTTCTTCTTCAACGTAACTTCTTCGGTGACTTCTTCCACATCTTCTTTTCTTTCTTCGACAACCGATTTCTTAATTGTCACTTCATCTGCGATCTCTTCCTTGAGAATTTCTTGTTTTGGTTTCTTTAGTACTAATTTTTCAGAGATTTCTTCCGGCTTTTGTTCTTCCTCTTTTGGAACGGGTTTCTTTACAGTTATTTCTGCAGCAGGTTCCTCTGTAACGGGCTTCTTTTTTGGTTTCTTCTTCAACGTAACTTCTTCGGTGACTTCTTCCACATCTTCTTTTCTTTCTTCGACAACCGATTTCTTAATTGTCACTTCATCTGCGATCTCTTCCTTGAGAATTTCTTGTTTTGGTTTCTTTAGTACTAATTTTTCAGAGATTTCTTCCGGCTTTTGTTCTTCCTCTTTTGGAACGGGTTTCTTTACAGTTATTTCTGCAGCAGGTTCCTCTGTAACGGGCTTCTTTTTTGGTTTCTTCTTCAACGTAACTTCTTCGGTGACTTCTTCCACATCTTCTTTTCTTTCTTCGACAACCGATTTCTTAATTGTCACTTCATCTGCGATCTCTTCCTTGAGAATTTCTTGTTTTGGTTTCTTTAGTACTAATTTTTCAGAGATTTCTTCCGGCTTTTGTTCTTCCTCTTTTGGAACGGGTTTCTTTACAGTTATTTCTGCAGCAGGTTCCTCTGTAACGGGCTTCTTTTTTGGTTTCTTCTTCAACGTAACTTCTTCGGTGACTTCTTCCACATCTTCTTTTCTTTCTTCGACAACCGATTTCTTAATTGTCACTTCATCTGCGATCTCTTCCTTGAGAATTTCTTGTTTTGGTTTCTTTAGTACTAATTTTTCAGAGATTTCTTCCGGCTTTTGTTCTTCCTCTTTTGGAACGGGTTTCTTTACAGTTATTTCTGCAGCAGGTTCCTCTGTAACGGGCTTCTTTTTTGGTTTCTTCTTCAACGTAACTTCTTCGGTGACTTCTTCCACATCTTCTTTTCTTTCTTCGACAACCGATTTCTTAATTGTCACTTCATCTGCGATTTCTTCCTTGAGAATTTCTTGTTTTGGTTTCTTTAGTGCCACTTTTTCAGAGATTTCTTCCGACACTTGCTCTTCCTCCTTTGGAATAGGTTTCTTTACAGTTATTTCTGCAGCAGATTCCTCTGTAACAGTCTTTTTCTTTGGTTTCTTTTTAAACGTAACTTCCTCAGTTTCTTCTTTTCTTTTTTCAGTAATTAATTTTTTAATCGTTACTTCTTCAGCGTCTTCTTCCTTGACAGATTCTTCTTTTAGTTTCTTTAGTACTACTTTTTCAGTGATTTCTTCTGGCATTTGTTCTTGCTCTTTTGGACCAGGTTCTTTTACAGATATTTCTTTGGCATCTTCTTTCTTCTCCTTGGTAATCGGTTTTGTAATTGATACTTCAGTTTCTATTTTATCTTCAGCAAACTGCTTTGGTTTTTTTAATAACACTTCTTGAGAAATATCTAATTCATCTTGCTTTTCTTTCGGTTCTGACTTCTTTCTTTTTACAATTAATTCTTCTGTTAGTATCTCTTTCTTTTCTTCGGGAATATTTTTTAACTTAGTATCCTCACTACTGTCCTGTGACTTTATTTCTTTTTCTTTGATCTTTTTCTGTTTTTTCTTCTGTTTTACTGTAAAGTCATCAATAATGTCTTTAGGCGTAGTTGGTATAATGTCTTTTTCCTTAGTTGGCTGTTCTTCTGTGCTTTCTTCTTCGGGTTTATTTTTTGTCCAGCCTTTTAAAGTTATTGTTTCAGGTTCATCTTCGGGTTTTTCTGAAGTTGGTATTCGAAAATTGATCTCGGGTTCTTCTTCAGGTTCCTGTGGCTTTGGTATACCCTTTATTATAGGAATTTGCTCCATATCTTGTTCAGGTTTTTTTCTCTTAAATGGTTTATATGACTTCGAGTCAGGTTCAGTTTCTGGTTTTTTGGTTATTTCGAATTCTTCAGGTACATATTTTTCAATTTCTGGCTTATCAAATTTTATTGGTTTGAATTCATCAGATGTGAATGTTTCTTGAGGTTGTTGTTCTTTTTCTAGAGGCGTATCTTCTATGGATTCTTTTATTTTAGGTGTTTCTTTATTTTCTGTTACTTGTTCTAGTTTCTTTATCGGTATTTTCTTTAGTTTGATCTCTTCCGGAATAATTTTATCTTCTTGTTTTATTTCACCTTTTCCAATAATGAGCTTTTGTGGTTCTTCGAACGTTTTCTGCGACTTCTTGGGTGTACGTTCATAAATAGATTTATCTTCTATTTGTTCTAAAGGAACTTTTTTTAGTTCTTCAAACTCTTTATCTAATTTCTCTAATTCAATCAAATCTTTCTCTAAGACTTTAGGTTTTTTGTATTTCTTCTTTATAACTTGTAATGCTTCTTCTGTATTTCTAGATAAAATGCCAGCTTGTATTGGATTTTTTTCTATATACGTAACTTTTGGTATTTGTAATTGTGTCGGATAGTCATCGATAAATGTAACTCTACTTCGTAACATGATTTTAGGAAATATTGGTTCAATTATTTCTTTTTTCTTAACAATTGGTACTTTTTTCAATTTAATTGTGCCAAATTGGACTGTTTCTTGCATTGGTTCGACATATTTTAATTTTGTAGGTTTGATTTCTTTTCTTTCAATTTTCTGTGGAATTAATTTTTGCACAGATTCAGGCAATATTTTCTTTTCTTTCTTCTTTTTCATTGGCTCCCATTGAATTTTTTCAGGCATTGGCTCTAATACAGGTCTTTCATACTCAGGTTCTATCCATTCCTCTATATCATCTTTCTTAACGATTTTTTTCTTCTTTTTCTTTATAACTTTCTTTTCTTTTATTTTCTCGGTAGGTTTAAGCTCCATTAGTTTTTCTTCTGCAGTAGATGTAATTTCTTCTTTTGGTTTTTCAAATTCCTTTATTTTGTCGGGATGTATTGTTTTTATTTCCTTCAATTCATCTTCGGGTTTTTTCTCCTTTAAAGTATCTTTTATTTTAACTTCGGGAATTATTTCTGTCACTTCTTCTGTAGTTTCTAGTGCACCTTTCTCTATTTTTATTTGTTCTAATTTAGGTTGGCTGGATGTTACTTTTTCTACTATTTCTTCTTTCTGTTTTTTTTCTGGAGTGACCTTTTCTTTTTCGATAGGAGCTAAATCTTTCTCTTTTTCTTCTTTAATGTCAGTCTTCCTAGGTTTTGCTTTTTTCTTTTTTGTTATTTCATCATCTGCTACAGCTAGATCAACTTTAGTAATTTCAATAATTTCTATTGGTGTAACACTTGATTCTGCTTCCTCTTCAGCAAACATTTTTTCCGTGATAAATTCTTCAGGTACTATTTCTGTTGTTACTTCTGAAATTTCAACACTTTCTTGTAAAAGTACATCCTTTTTAGCCTTTTCCTTTTTGGGCTTTTTCATTTTTATGTCCTCTATTGCTTCCTCTGATCGATCTTCCTTCACTTCTATAGCTGATTTTACACTATCATCTATCTTTTCTAGCATAATTTGCTCTTCCTGTGTTTTATTTTTATCAATTTCATTGGTTGTGATTTCAGAAATAATTTCCGTAGTTTCTATTTCCTCATTTGCAACTATTATTTCTTCCGTTTTTTCTTGTGTTGGTTTTTCTAATGTAATATCTTCGACTATTTCTTCTTTAACCTGTTGTTTACTTGCATGTACTGGTTTAACCCTTTTCGGTGCTTTCTTCACAGTAACTTTTTTTATATCAACTTGTGGTTCCTCTTCTTTCACTGGCAATATTGTTTCTTTCACTGGTTTTATCGTTTCAAGTAGATCTTCAGTAGAAGTGTCCGGAATTGCCTCAGTAACTTCGATTCCTTCTTTTGTTATGATAGTCAATTTTATTTCTTCTTCTTTTGGTTTTTTGTCCAGTATTTCCTTAGTAACTTCAACAGTAATTTGTTCCTGTACAGGAATCGTGTTTGTTTCTTCCCGTAAAATTGTCTTTAATGGGCTTTCTTCTTTTTTAATTTCGTGTATCGCAGCTTCTCTTGGTATAGCTTCAACTTCTGTGAATTTAGTAACGGAGGATTCAGTTAAGATTTCCACAACTTCGATGCTCTCTCTAGGAGTGAATATAGTTTGAGCTTGTTCTATCTCTGGTTTATCTAAAACAATTTCTTCAACAATTTCTTGTAGCACATTATCTTCATGAGATTTTCCCTTTTTTCTCTTTATTTTCTTTTCTATTGGTGTTTCGATAAGTTCGACTATTTTTTCTTTAGCAATTATTTGAGTATCTTCAATTGGTTTTTGATCAATTTTCTCTTCAGGTACTTTAACAATTGATTGCTGTGTATCTATTTTTGTAACTGTAACAGTTTCTTTTCTATCTTCCATGATAGTTTTAGCCTTTTCTTTTTTTGGCATGTCCGTTTGGATTTCTTCTACGACTTGCTCAAGAACGTCAGCAGTGTCTATTATATGTTCCTTTTTCTTAATTATTTTTTTGGATGGCATTTCAACAATTTCCTCTGATTTTATTTCCTCGATTACTTTAACACGTTCATCCTTTTTCTTTGGTATTTTTTTTGTCTTAATGTCTTTCTGTATCGGTTTTTCAATACTCTCGTTCTCTTCTATGATAGACGTTTTCTTTTTTTCTATTGGTGCTTCCTTGAGATCTATTTTTGTAATTTCTACCGATTCTTCTTTATGTATAAGGAGTTGAGCTTTTTGGAACTCTATTTCTTTTGTTATAACTTCTTCTATAATTTCTTCAGGTATTTCATAAATTGATTCTTCTTCCTGTAAAAATATGGTGAGAATACGAAATATATTATAATATACTAAATAGAGCAAGTTTTTGTATTCTCTCTAGCTTACCTGATACAGCCCTTCTTCTCTGGTACCTAAAAAACAAAGGTAAGAAATCAAATTAAAAAAAAGATTACTAAAAATTTTTTTGATAATTGTGTTTTAATAAGTGACAATATTAATATTTAACAATATTAATATTTTTATGTATAATATTAGTATTATCAGACAATAATTGATTGTTTTATCTTTCCTTTCTTTCAATTTTAATGAGATGTCTATTCATTGTGTATATAAAATGAATTGCAGAAGAGAGATGTATGTTTTAGTAGGACGCAAGAATTAGTAAACGCTAAAAATAAAAACCAAACTTACCTTCCAAAGTCTTTTTATTGATTTTAGATATTATCATTTCATCGTATTTAATGTGTATTTCAGGTGTAATGTCTGCGTGAAGATTTGTAACTTTTGCCTCCTGTTCCTCTTTGTCCTCATTACTTATAATTATTCCTTTGGTACTTTCTTGTTTAATAATTTGCTTTTTAGTGATTTTTTTCGGTTTTTTCTTTCCAAAGTCCATTTCAGTTACTTTTATTTCTTCCCTTATCTCTTCCTTTTCACAAGGTTTTACAAATTTGGGATGAGATAGTGGAAGAACAGTTTTCTCAACGATTTCTTCTAATGGACCTTCTGTAACTGTTGTTATAGGTAATTGTCCTTGTTCCTCTACAGTTGTTTCTTGTGTCATTTGCTGCTTCTGTCCTTTCCGTTTAATAATTTTCTTTGTAGTAATCTTTTTCGGTTTTTCACCCTCAATTATTTCCTCAGTTATTGTTACTTGCTCCCTTATGTCTTCTTCAAAGGGCTTGGCGATTTCGGATTGTGGCATAGAATATTCAGTTTTATCAACGATTTCTTCTAATGGACCTTCTGTAATTGTTGTTATAGGTAGTTGTCCTTGTTCCTCTACTGTTGTTTCTTGTGTCACCTGCTGTTTCTGTCCTTTCTGTTTAATAACTTTCTTTGTAATAATCTTTTTCGGTTTTTCATCCTCAATTATTTCCTCAGTTATTGTTACTTGCTCCCTTATGTTTTCTTCTTCAAAAGGCTTGGCGAATTCGAATTGTGGCATAGAATATTCAGTTTCCTTAACGATTTCTTCTAATGGACCTTCTGTAATTGTTGTTACAGGTAGTTGTCCTTGTTCCTCTACTGTTGTTTCTTGTGTCACTTGCTGTTTCTGTCCTTTCTGTATAATAACTTTCTTTGTAGTAATCTTTTTCGGTTTTTCATCCTCAATTATTTCCTCAGTTATTATTACTTGTTTCCTGATGTCTTCTACTTCAAAGGGCTTATCGAATTCGGATTGTAATAGAGGAAGTACAGTTTCTTCAACGACTTCTTCTACTGGACTTTCCATAACTGTTGTTACAGGTAGTTGATCCTTTTCCTCTATGGTTGTCTCTTCTGTAACTTGCTGTTTCTGTCCTTTACGTTTAATAATTTTCTTCGTAGTTATTTTTTTCGGTTTTTTACCCTCAATTATTTCCTCAGTTACTGTTACTTGCTCCTTTATGTCTTCTTCTTCAAAGGGCTTAGCGAATTCAGATTGTAATAGAGGAAGTACAGTTTCTTCAACGACTTCTTCTACTGGACTTTCTATAACTGTTGTTATAGGTAGTTGATCCTTTTCCTCTATGGTTGTCTCTTCTGTAACTTGCTGTTTCTGTCCTTTACGTTTAATAATTTTCTTCGTAGTTATTTTTTTCGGTTTTTTACCCTCAATTATTTCCTCAGTTACTGTTACTTGCTCCTTTATGTCTTCTTCTTCAAAGGGCTTAGCGAATTCAGATTGTAATAGAGGAAGTACAGTTTCTTCAACGACTTCTTCTACTGGACTTTCTATAACTGTTGTTATAGGTAGTTGATCCTTTTCCTTTATGGTTGTCTCTTCTGTAACTTGCTGTTTCTGTCCTTTACGTTTACTAATTTTCTTCGTAATAATCTTTTTTGGTTTTTCACCCTCAACTATTTTTTCACTTACTGTTACTTGCTTCTTTATTTCTTTCTCTTCATTGTGCTTGGCGAATTCGGATTGTGGTAGAGGAAGTATAGTTTCTTCAACGATGTCGTCTACCGGACTTTCTATGACCCTTACAGGTAATTGTTCTTGTTCCTGTATAGTTGTTTCTTCCGTTATCTGTTGTTTTTGTCCTTTGCGTTTAATAATTTTCTTTTTAGTAATTTTTTTCGGCTTTTTTCCTTCGGTTGTTTCTTCAGTTACTTGCTCCCGTATTTCCTCTTCTTCAAGAGATTTGGCGAATTCTGGTTCAGGGGGAAAAAATACAATTTCTTCTACTGTACCTTCCGTAATTGTTGTTACAGGTAGTTGTCCCTTTTTCTTTATTGTTGTCTCTTCTGTCATTTGTTGTTTCTGTCCTTTATGTTTAATAACTTTCTTTTTAGTGATTTTTTTCGGTTTTTTTCCTTCAATTAATTCTTCAATCACTGTAACTAGTCCCGTTTCTTTTATTTCTTCCTCTTCAAGAAGCTTTGCAAATTCAGCTTGTGGCAAAAGAAATATAGTTTCTTCAGCCATTTCTTGTACTGGACCTTCAATAATTGTTGTTACAGGTAGTAGTCTCTTTGAATCTATTATTATCTCTTCTGTTACCTGTTGTTTTTGCCCTTTAACAATTTTATTTTTAGGAATCCTTTTTGATTTTTCTTCCTTGATTCTTTCTTCAGTTATTGTTACTTGCTTCTTTATTTTCTCTTCAGAGGCGAATTTGAGTTGTGGTAGAGGAAGTACAGTTTCTTCGACGATTTCTTCTACTAAACCTTCCGTATCTGTAGTTATAGGTAATTGTCTCTTTCCCTTTATAGTTGTTTCTTCCGTCACCTGCTCTTTCTGCCTTCTGCATTTAATTATTTTGTTTTTAGTGGTCTTTTTCGGTTTTTTTCCTTCGATTACTTCTTTAGTCATTATTACTTGCTCCCTTGTTTCTTCATCTTTAACAGGCTTGATGAATTCCACATGTGATGTAGGAAGAATAATCTCTTCAATGATTTCCTCCACTGGTCCCTCTGTAACTGTAATTATAGGTAATCGTCCTTCTTCTTCTATAGTTATTTCTTCGATCACTTGCTGTCTTTGTCCTTTACGTTTGACAATTTTCTTTTTAGTTATTTTCTGGGGTTTCTTCCCTTCCACTATTTCAGTTACTGTTACTTCCTCTTTTATTTCTTCCTTTTCAAAGGGTTCTGTGAATTCAGAAGATAATAGTGAAAGAACAGATTCTTGAATGACTTCTTCTACTGGACCTTCTGTAATTATTGTTACAGGTATTTGTCCTTTTTCCTCTATTGTTGTTTCTTCTATTACTTGCTGTTTCTTTCCTTTACGTTTAATGATTTTCTTTTTAATTATCTTTTTCGGTTCCTTTCCTTCGATTACTTCTTCAGTCACTATCACTTGTTTCCTTATTTCCTCCTGTTCCAAGGGTTTGACGAATTTAGAATGTGGTACAGGAGAAACGATTTTTTCTTTTGGTTTATCTATAGGTGCACTTATTAATAATTGTTTTTCTTCTACAACTGTTATTTCTTCGTTGTTTTGTACTACCATTTTTATTTCTTCTTGACTTTGAGTGGTTTCTTCTAATTCTTCAATTTTTGTTGGTACTATTTCTTCTATTTCTATTTGTCCTGTTACTTCTTCGATATGCATAAATTGTTTTTTTGGTATGGATGGTACTTGTGGTTTTATGTCTTCTATTTCTTCTTCAATTACTACAATTTTTTCTTCTTCTGATTTAGTTTTTGGTTTCTTTTTACGAATTGTAGTTTTCTTTGTTTTAATTGCTGCCATTTCATTTTCTTTAGTGCCGGTTTTAAATTTTGTGGTATATTCTTCAATTACTTCAGTATCAGATTCATTTGTTGGTTGTTTTGTTTCGTGTATTGTGGTGTGTTGTGTGACTGTGATATGATGTTGTTGCTCTGATGCTTCTGTAGTTTCTGAAATGTACATAGAAAAAGTGTGGTATATGATTAAATTGTTGTATGTAAAATGTTTTGTTGGTCTGTCGGCATTATTTGAATTTTTATGTTGTATTAGTATTTATAATGTTTAACAACGTATTAGACGCAAGTAATGGCTGCGTTCAGCGGACTTAACTATTGACTGAGTCCGCTGAACGCAATCAATGTATTGACAATTTTTTTATTATAATTTATCACTCGAACGTTGAGTATTATATGAAGCATGGTGAAATCAGCTGCTAGTTGACTAGTATATAAGGTAGTACGTGTTCTTATGTAAATGTCAGTAACTTATAACTCTGTATTTTATTAGTTCTGTACTTACCGAGATAATCTATAACAAGATCGTAATGTTAAATCGAATATTAGTTTGTTAAATATTTGCATTAAGTGCCAAAGATTCTTGATTTGTGTGTTCTGATTATATTCCTCTTTTTACCTCTTTTATTAATATAAATTAACATACTTATATAATTTGTCTGTTTGATTTATTAAATGTTACGATCATTGTGTTTAATTGAATCGATTTCTTCAAATGTCGCGTGTGAATTATCAATGCAATCTATCATGTTACTTTTCTATACGTATAATACTTACCTAAAAGTTTTTCCAAGTAGTCGGCTTCAAAAGATGTGCTTGCTATTTTTGGTACTATTGGAATTACGGGTTCGGACAGATTTGATTCAATTTCAGTAATGTGTTGCAATTCAGTAACAATTATACTTTGTTTTTCATCTTTTACATCATGAGCTGTTTTACTGTCTGGTTTTGGAACAGTGAATTCCGATACTACATTTTCCGGATGAATTTCAGTTTTTACAGCAACTTTTCGTTCAATTATATCTGCTTGCGCGATTTCTTCCTTAGCGAGACCTTTAACGACTTCTTTTGCTTCTTTCTCTGTAGGAGTTACTTGGATAACTTCAACACCTTCGGAAATGCGAAATGAAACTTCGGCTGAAGCACTAGGTACCACTTTTTCAATGACAATAGAACGTTCACTTTCATGAGGAATCGTTTCTATTTGTTGTACACTCTCAAATGGTATTTG